GAAGTTGGAGGTAACTGGGTACGGTGGAGCTGTCTGAGCTTTCTGTCCCTTGCCCTGTGCTCAGCATGCTTCACAGCTCTTGAAACCATTTCAAATGAAACCCAAACAATTATTGAATAAATCTCGGTGCTGAGACTCAGTATGTGTTTTTCGATACTAAGCTGTCGGGGTCATTTGAATAATTTTGAGTGATCTGGGTAGTAGATTATGGTTCACACTTAACCATCCCTTTTAATTTTTTCTCTGCCTTTACTGTAGACCATTAATACTGTATCAGAGGTCATTCGAGGATGCCAGATCAATCAGGACTACTTTGCCTCTGTAAATGCACCTTCGAATCCACCAAGGTAGAGGAAGAGAAGTGTTCACCTGTGTTGTGTAAAGATGTATTGCTATGGGCACTGGCAGTCTAATCCAAAGGAATCCTTAAATTCCAAGTTGGGAGTCAAGATACAGAGCAACAGCTTCAGCTTCACATGGGGTGTAGTAGAGGTAGTGTGAAGGTCTCAGGTGTTTTTCCACAGAGATGAGGCGTAGAACTGACATTATTTTTCATGTGGTACCTGAAAAGTGAATGAGCAATAGTTGAGGAGTTCCTGGATGGGGATGAACTGCCACTGTCAGGCAGAAGACAGTCTATGAAAGGATTTAGAGACCAGGAGAACAGGCAGGTAATTAGTATTTAGTCAGGGAACAGCAAGTGTTGGCTTAACGAGATCTTCATCTCTGTAGGTAATTAGTATTTAGTCAGGGAACAGCAAGCGTTGGCTTAAAGAGATCTTCATCTCTGCGTTGGAAGCTGTGAGGGTAGAAAAAGGACGGTTTTGAATTACCAGTTGCTTGTGGCCCTGTGAGGCACCATCCATGGCATTGAGTTGAGTGGGGAGCAGCTGGGGACAGGATGGGAAGGGTAACTACTGTGGAGGAACACTGGCTCATTGTACTCTGCTGTGCTGTGTTGAAACTCGCTGAAAAACTTTGGTGTTAATACCAAAAGTTTCACTGCTGTGTTTGAGGTGACACTAGATGGAGCAGGCAGAAGTCACTTTCCTCACCCATAGAATACCCTCCCAGTTGTGTTTTGGCAGTTGTCTTCACTCATGACTTGCCATTCACGTTTCTTCTCTGCTCTCCCACCAGGCCGGCGATTGTGGTACTGCTGATGTCCATGGTCAACGAGCGGCAGCCTTTCGTGCTCCGCTGTGCCGTGCTCTATTGCTTCCAGTGCTTCTTGTACAAAAACCAAAAAGGACAAGGAGAAATCGTTTCAACGCTTCTGCCGTCTACTATTGATGGTACGCAAAGCTACCGTCTCCGCACCGAGTTGTGAACTAGCACAAAGGTTGAATTCTCTAAAAATCTACTAGTTTGGGTATTCTGCGTTTGACCTGGATGGTGATGTCTTAAATATTTCGCTGGTTTCGTGGCTTCTTCTAATCTCACTTGTACCTCTGGGCTGTTCCGTAGCTACAGGTAACTCTGTCTCAGCTGGCCAGCTGCTCTGCGGGGGCCTCTTCTCCACGGACTCCCTCTCCAACTGGTGTGCCGCGGTGGCGCTGGCCCACGCCTTGCAGGAGAACGCCACCCTGAAGGAGCAGCTCCTGCGGGTTCAGCTGGCCACCAGCATCGGCAACCCGCCCGTGTCGCTGCTGCAGCAGTGCACCAACATCCTGTCGCAGGTACGGCACCCCGCGCCGGCCGGGAGCTCCGGGTGTCCGGGAGGAACGCGGCGCGCCGCAGGCAGACATGAGCGCTGGCTTAAGGAGGGTTCTCTTTTGTAGACAGTTTTGAAGCTTTCTTTAAAGCACTTGGTGCTTCAAGGGGAGGAGAAAAGCAGCAATTCTCCGTTGTTCATCAGTGATTGCTGCTGGATGTTGTCTGCTCCCCGAAGGCAGAGGGTCTTAAAGCATCTTGACCTTCAACTTGGTTTAAAAGACAAGGCCAACTGGCAGGATCTCCAGGCACGTTTTGGTGTTCAAGTGCCTGGTTAGTTGTAAAGGTGCAAGTGTTAACTTGGAACTTGAAAATAAGCAGGCTCTCATGTTTTGGTCGTTGTTGATGTGCTGCAAAAAGCCTTTGTGAACTGGTTCAGTGCCTTAACAGCTGTCGTGGCAAATGGCAGCTGAGTGAGCTTGGCCTCTCAGCCCACGCTTCTCGTGGCATCCGCTGCTGCTACGTGGACTTAATTCCTGCCGGGCTGCCATGATGAGGAGCGAGTTTGCTCTGGCAGCTTTTAGACTTTGCTGCAGTTGAGAATAATGGCACAACGGTGGCATTTCCAGTTTGTTCATGTGACTTTTTACATCTGCTTTACCTGGAAATAGAGGTGACTCCTTTTTATCCTTTTCCCAGCAGTTGTGTCTCAGGTAAATTCGAGTCAGTAAAACTGTCTCAACTCTTGAGCCTTAAATAATAGGGGACTCCAACTTGGGGGGGATGTTTCTGAAATCTGTTCTACTTCAGAGTTCTCAAGTAATGCGTGTGTAACTTGCAGGGTGATAAGATCGACAGACGGGTATGTATATTTTGGCACAGCTCTGGCACTTCCTTGCCCAAAGCAGGCCTTTGCCTCTTGTCTTGGGTTTGCTTGGGAGGTTTTCTTTAACTGCTTTTTGATGTGTTTCCACTTACAGCTTTGTGTTGTGGTTGGGTTTGGGTTTTTCCTGGCATAACAAGCTGTCTCTGTGTCTCCAGGGGTTTCTCTGGGGGTGCTCCACAAAACTATGGGATCAAGATCTTGGGTAGCATGGGTGCTTTCTTTGCAGTGGGGCAGAGTTATTCACCATCTGTTCATCTAACAGATGTGCTTCTTTGTAAGAAACATTAAAACTGTTTAAAATGCTGTTTTCTCCCACGGGGTTGTAGCAGATAGTCGGTACCATCTGACATGGGAACATGCTGCCGATTGCTTGATGGCAAAAAGAAAAACTGTTGAACCTGCCTTCTGGCCAGTTTGTACATTGGAGTTAACAGCAGAAACTTTGACCTTGGAGCTACTAGTGCTGACTAGGAGAGATCTTGTTACTAGCAAAAGATCCCTGAAGCCAGTGGCTTGATTCTTTAGGCTGTGTTACTTGAAGCTCTGCTAAGTTGGTTATCACTGGCCGAAGAAACAATTCCAAAATATCCCTGCTGTGGAATTGTCTGCTTTATTCACCAAGTGAATCAGAGTTGTCCTGAGCCGTGGGGGCGTATTGCTACCAGCCCTGAATTGCAGACCAGCACCTGTGGAGAGCTGTCATCTATCACAGCAGGGTTATCATGGTGTGTCTAGGAAATAGCTGTGTGTTGGGGTGGTTTTTTGTTTGGTTTAGAGAAGGTGTTTGGAACTGGGTGGGAATCCCAAGGCAGAACACGCTAATTTGACCTTGGAACAGCCTGCAGCAGTCGAGAATAAATGTGCTTTGCAACTGCTCCCAGCAGATAAGGTGTGCTGGGAGTGCTGGGTCGCACAAGATAAGAGACACTTGTGCCAGTGTTCTCTGAAGAAGCAGGCAGTGTGCTGGTGTGCTGCAGGACGAGCCTGCTGGTTACGGTGGTTACTCCCAGTGCGTAGGAACAGGCTAATAGTCTTGGGACAATAAGAGCCAGTGTTTGTATGGCTGGATGGGGGAAAAGAGTTCCTAGAGTTGATTGCTGGTTTTGCTTGAAGCAAATATTTGTTTTTGTTCAGTTAGGGGAGAGTTGACTTGATGTTTTGACAAATAGTGAGCTGGTGTCACTGGTGCCTTTGCACAGACAATGGGTGTCACAGCTGTTTTGTCAGGCATTATTCAGTCTGAGCTTTTAACTTCCTTGGACTGGTTCTGGTTGCTCCAGGTAACTTTTGTCTGTTCCAGAAGAGTGAAAGCAGGGTTGAATGAGTGGTTTCAAGTGACCCTGTAGTTGTCTGAGATGGCAATGAGGAAGCAAATGGCCTGAGCTGAGGCTGTGGTATAGCAAGAAGGGCCTGCGTGGTCAGCAGGTTCTTCAGCTGAGCTGTTTGACGAGACAAGACTATAGCAGTTCACTACACCAGTGTGGTGTGGTAGATGATTTTGGTACGAGCTTGTAAGACCTATGATTTGTCACCTTGTGTCTTAATTGGTGCTTCACCTGAAAACTGGACCATGAACCCAGTTTTCACCTTTGCCTACTGAGTAATAAGTGGTGAATCTGGTCTTTGGGCATCTTGTCTTGCCTTTGTGAGTAAATTTTCTATATGCTAGTGAATATCTCTTAAATATGTCTTGTCTTTAGACTGTCTTGGGAAAAATCTCACCTTGTGAGCAGAGATGTCAGTGTTGTGTTGCATCCCAGTCATTAAGTAACTACCAAGTACAAGGTGGGTAGGGGAAATGGACGTGGTGATGGGGTAAGCTAAAATGAGCCAGTCCAGAGGAAAGAAGGAGGCAAGAGAAGAGAGCTGGTGGGGACCAGGCAGCTTGCTGTGAGGTCTAGGTGTGTGGAAACCAGTTGTGGCTTTCAGCTAGAGGGGTAGCAGCAAGGTAGATAATCCATGTGTAATACAACAGCAACACAGGGTCACAGGAAAGCTGCAGACAAACCTACAGCCAAGACTAACCAAGGATGGCTAGTCGGGTCTGTAGTACTCACCGTGAAGCGCAGCAGGTCGGGGCTGTGGCTGGTGGTGATGGCTGTGTTCTCTGCTGTTTGACACGCCTTGCTTGGGTCTCTGGAAGCAGTGATGATGGAACAGGCCCACAGGCTCCCTTGGCTATGCGTGCAGCGTTAGGGATGGCTGCTGCAGTGTCGACAGCTGTGAGGTGTGTTCTGCTCCTCTAAGGAGACCGTTTCATCTCGGGGATGGTGACAGGCTGCAGCAAATCAGAGCACGTCAGAAGGAAGTGTCTGTTCAGAGCTTGGTGTTTGCCAGAGTGGCTTGACTCAGTTCCTGCCTGCCTGGTGGTCTGCAGCGGTTGGGTAGCTGGGAGCCTGACACAGAAGAGCTTCTTTACCAGACTGCTGCTTGCTCTCTGTTTTGATGGGCAAACTGGCTTATTCAAAGATGGTGGAGGGCTTTTTTTTTTTCTAAAAAAGCTTCCTTAAAGATAACACGGCCTTCAGTTTTAATGCCTAGAGGTTATCAGAGGCAAGGATGGAAGTTCAATGTCTCAAGCACAGGCTCCTTTGTTGTTAACACACAGTTCTCTCTTTTGCCACTGTCTTGACCTCTGTGACCACTTCTTTCAGTGTATTTTCTTGCCCCCTTTCGAAGATATCCCAGCAGTTCTGTGTACCTCATCTGGCCTTTGAGACTTGACTTCAGCTTCCAGTTACTTGGCTCGATAGATGAGGTGCTTGTGTGAAGTTCAGTTTGCCATGCAGGGAACGTTCTTCTTGCTTGCCTTCCCAATGGTGCCTATGGGAGGAGATGGGTGCTTGTTGTAGCACTGCTGTGCCCGTGGTATCTGCAGCGAAGACAAGGAAGACAGAATGGAGACATTAGTCATCATTGTCTTGGTTAACAAAACCAAATACTGCAGTTAGCGTTCCTTTTGCTGGCTTCACGTGCGTGTTGTCCCAACCGAAAGCTGCTCCAGTATTATCTTTCTTAGAAAATACGAGGAGCACATGGCAATTTTTGGTCAGCAGGGGGGAAATCTTAGTGATTCACCTCTTAGAGGGAATCCTCCCTTGACTTAATTTACACCTTGTTCCTTCTTTCCAGGAGTTGTGTGTGTGTTACCTTAATTATAAATGCAAAACTAATTTGTTACGGTTTTATATTGGTGCTAACTTGCCTTGAGTCACTTCTCACCTCTGTGTTGCTTGTTGTTTTGTGCTGAAGGCAGTTAAATCTGTAAGATTTGGTACTGGTTTTATCCAAACACTAAAGCTGTGTTCAGTATAACTAACCCAGGGTCATTATGCAAGACATGACTCCTGGTTTTGAAAGCGATGAGGTGAAAGTGGGTGAGTTGTGAATCCCTGCAGCTTTTCTTGGTATTTTAGTCCTCCTCTGTGGAAGGATAACCATGGGGGGGGTTTTATTCTTTTCAGGGCAGCAAAGTACAGACCAGGGTTGGACTACTGATGTTGCTCTGCACTTGGCTCAGCAACTGCTCGATCGCTGTCACCCACTTCCTTCACAATCCAGCCAACATACCTTTTGTATCCTTGACCTCTTGCAGAGCAAAAGCACTCGCCTAGGAATTACTGGGATTATTCCAGTTTGATGTTTCCCTAGATCAGTTTACAGGGATACTGCATGACACAACAAAAATGCACTGTGGCAAGAGACAGAAGCAGCCTGCTGTTGACAGTGCTGTGTCCAGACGTGTCTAAGGTGTACATGTCAATTCAGGTAAGCCCAAAGCTACGTCATTCTGCCAGCAACGTGTATTATTTTATTGTGACCAGCCCCTTGATATTTTTAGTGTGACTAACAGTTATACCCACGAGGTAGGAAGAACGCTTCCACTTTCTAACTTAAGTCTGTGCTTTTTAGGAAAAAAGTCTGGCTAAAGTACACCAGGCTAAACTGTCACCTTCTCTAAACTGCATCTCTAAACTAAATCTCTTTGGCTCAACAGACAGTTACTGAGAAAAGAAATTTCAGGAAACACTCATTATCCAAGTCTTTCGAAACAGGAGCTAGCTTGGTGGGGGTTGCAGCAGCTAGTTTGCCTACTTGCTAATCAAGCTTGGTTTTACATGTCAAAATAATTGGAACTGGGAGTTTATACAGGGAGAAGTCTGTTCAAGTATTGTGCTTGTGGAGTATCTCAAATGTCCTTAACAAGAGCTCCAGCTCACAGGGCAGATAGCTGAAAACCTTGGAGAAGAGGAGCAGCTCGTCCAAGGCCTCTGTGCACTTCTGCTTGGCATTTCCATCTACTACAACGACAATTCCCTTGAAAATTACAGGAAGT